CCCACAGGTTGGGGACTTCTGCTTTAGATGATCCATGTGTACAGATTATAGAAATATCAGAGTTGGAAGGGACTTTGGAGGTCTTCTAGTCCAATCCCCTGCCTGAGCAGGAGACCCTAGGCCATTTCAGACAGGTGGCTGTCCAGTGACTTCTTAAAAACACCCACAAGTTCTGAAGGCAAACTGTTCCACTAATGATTAACCTATAACACGCATGCCAGTGGGCATGTGCACCGTCACCAGCTGGTGTTTGTTGGCATGGGAGCACCTGAAAACAGCCCGAAAAATGGCCCAAAACAGGCCATTTTCTGGGCTGTTTTTCTGGCTGTTTTCAGGCCATTTTCAGTCATTTGCGGGCCCCCAAAATGGCCTGAAAAATAGCCTGAAAACAGCCTGAAAAATGGATAAAAAACAAGCATGTGCGCTCCTGTCAGCTGCTCTTCAGTGCTCTGGCATGCACGCATGCATGTGCCAAAACCCGAAGGTCAGCTGGCCGGTGTGTGCATGGGCACTGGCCAGCTGGCCTTCAGAGTTGCAGCGCTCCAGCTTGCACACATGCGCATGCGCACACATGTATTGCATGAGCATTCCGGTTTGGGCACTCAGTGCCCAAACGTTTTGCCATCATTGCAGTAGTTGATTATTCTCCCTGTCAGGAAGTTTCTCCTTAATCTTAGGCTGCATCTCTGCTTAATAATCCTCCACCTGCTACTACTTCTCCTGCTCTCAGGTGCTTTGGAGGAAGTATGATCCCTGCCACACTTTCCTAGCTTTTCACCTCTTCCAAAAAGTGACCAGTTCTTTTGGTTTTTTTAAAGTCAGACTCCTGGAACATTACTCTCTTTTTTTCTATTTGCATTCTGCAGAAAACTCTGTCATTAAGCTGTGTATCTCTGTGGTAACTTCCACATTTTTATTTTGAATAAAATATAAATGTCCTTTTCCCCTCTCCTCCTCCGGGTTCCTCTGTCACCTATACTGTTAAAGACCTACCTGCCCCAGTTTTATTTGGTTCGCTGTTACTCTTCTAATTATCCATAAATGTACATGTAGTCCTCAACTTAACAACAGTTCATTTAGCGACCGTTCAAAGTTACAATACGCTGAAGAAAGTGCCTGATGACCATTCCTCACAGTTACAACTTTTGCAGCATCTCCATGAATGTGTGATCAAAGTTCAGATGCTTGGCTTCTGGTTCATACTTATGACCGTTGCTGTGTCCCAAGGACACGTGATCCTCTTTTGCGACCTTCTGACAAGCAAAGTCCATGTGGAAGCCAGATTCACTTAACAACTGGGTTACTAATGATCAACTGCAGTGATTCATTTAGCAACTGTGGCAAGAAGGTAAAATGGGGCAAAACTCACTGAACAAAGGTCTTGCTTAACCACAGAAATGTTGGGGTCTGTTGTTGTAATTAAGTCCTCATTAGGAGAAAGATCAAATGTTGCTCCAGTTATGAGAAATATAGTTTAGTATTTAATACAGTACTGCAGCAGGCTACTTCTGCTGACTGCCAGCTGCCTGCAATTTAGCAGTTCAAATCCCACCAGGCTCAAGGTTGACTCAGCCTTCCATCCTTGTGAGATTGATAAAATGAGGACCCAGATTGTTGGGGACAAGAGGCTGACTCTGTAAAGTGCTTAGAGAGGGCTGCAAACTCACTATGAAGCGGCATATAAGTCTAAGTGCTGTTGCTAAAGGCTGAGGAAGGAAGGGAGGGAGGGAGGAAGGAAGGAAGGAAGGAAGGGAGGGAGGGAGGGAGGGGAATACAGAGAGGGAAGGAAGGGAAAAAAAGAGAAGGAAGGAAGAAAAGAAAAAGGAAGGAAAGGCAATAGTGGTGCAGTGATTAGAGTGCAGTACTGCAGGCTACTTCAGCTGACTTTCGGCTGACTGAAATTTGGCAGTTCAATTCTCACCAGGCTCAAGGTTGACTTCCATCCTTCCAAGGTGGGTAAAATGAGGACTCAGATTGTTGGGGAGCAAGAGGCTGAATCTGTAAACTGCTTAAGAGGGCTGTAAAGCACTGTGAAGCAGCATCTAAATCTAAGTGCTATTTGTCAGTGTCCCAAGTAATGCACCCATAGAAAACAGAACTCGGAGGCAGGCAAGTTCCTCAAAGAACAGTTTATTGGGTGCTTCATATTGTTAGAACTGGTGAAAGCCAACTCTGAAATTTCCTGCAGCTTTCACCTGATTAAAAGTAAAAGTTTCCCCTTTCGTCCCGGCTCACTGGTCATACTTCCCAATCAAGGTGCTGGCTGCGTTACTTGCTCCTCTGGCCAGACACCTGTGAGAATGTCCTTGGTTCCCACAGGAAAACTTTATTGTTTTGGCTACAAAACCCCATCTAATTATTCCTCCCGTCCCACTGTTGGTGTGGCCTCCAAAATGCTATTGCTATTTTGCCCCAATCTTCTGAGTTAATTTTAGTCTTTGTCCAAAGCAATGTTAATTAGGCATCCTTTACGTTCTTTGCATGGAAACATTTAAGATAACTGGTCTCTGCTGTTACCTTTGAATAATGAAGGAATGCTGTGTGCGCCACGGCCAACCAGCTCAAAGGTTGAGACACTAACAAGGTTACTCTTTCAGTTGATTTATCCTCTCGTAAAATTATGCTGGTTGGTAAAGGGACAACACCATCTTCTGAAGAGTCAAGAATTGGTGCCTCATTTATTTTTCTTTGTGGCTTCAGTTAGATTTAGACCCACCTTGAGTTTCCAGAAATGACAGTCAGCAAAGAAACAAAAAGAGGAAAAGGTGCTAATTGAGGTGCCTCCAGGGAAGGGAAGGATGAAAACTGGAAGAAATAATTAGGCCCAGAGCATTTTCTCCAGGGCAGGTAAAAATTAAAGAAGAGAGCGTTTTAGCCATGTGAGACAAGGATAAAGCTCTTGGATGATAAAGAGGGAAGGGAGAGGAAGAACAGAACAATAAACACCTTAAAGAATGAAGAGCCTCTTCATACTCGGGGAACAGAGAAAGAAAATTACTTCAGGAGGGGGAGAAAAACGGAGGAAGGAAGTCAACAGCAGCAGGAAAAATGGTTTGCATTTTTAAAAAAATAAAAAAAAATAAACTAAATAAAATAAAATAAATTAGAGAAAATCACAAACAAACATGTATCTCTTATTGGAGAGCTGTGCTTTGATACAGGGATTTTTAAGAATAGACTAAACAACCATTTGACTGCGATGGTAAAAGGCTGTGATGGCGAACCTATGGTGGCACGTAGAGCCATATCTGCCAGCATGCATGGCGTCAGCTCCAACACGTGTGTGTGTGCTGGCCAACTGATTTTCGGCCTTCCGGAGGGCCGAGGAAGGACAATTTCACCCTACCCAGGCTTCATGAAAGTCTCCGGAGCCTGGGGAGGGCAAAAATGGCCTCCCCATGTCCGCTGGAGACCCGTTTTTTGGCCCTCCGCAGAGTTCGGAGGCTTTCCTGGAGCCTGGGGAAGGTGAATACGGCCTCCCCGCCCCAGTGGTAGGTTCCGAATCCTGTTGCAACCAGTATGGTGCAAAGGGGCCGGGTGCCCACCACATGAACGTGTGCAGTGTGCGCATGCGTACTTACTGCCCGCGATGCTCCGCGATGCCTCTGCGATGCTCCAGCTGCTCGGTGGAGCGTTGCGCAGGCACCATGGGCTTTGTGCGCCTGCATGGAAGCCCTGAAAACTTCAAATAGCGGTAAGGAGTGCGGGCAGGTGGGTGGGCCCTCTGGAGCACTGTTCCAGAACTGTACCTGGTGCTCCCGGCAGGCACTGGTATGCCCGTACCAGGGTGTACCAGTCGTAATCCACCACTGCTCCGCCCCTTTGGAGGAAATACCAAGCTCAGCTTGGAGGCGAGCAGTGCAGTATGCATGCGGTATGCATGGGGAGGAAGCATGGGGGGGTTGTGCTTTGCATTATGGGTGCTGGCACCCGTGCGTTATCGCGCATGCAACCTTGCATTTTTGGCACCCAGTAACAAAAAGGTTACCCATCCCTGGTAGAAGGTCTTCTTTGAGCAGAGAGGTTTGGACTGGAAGACCTCCGGGGCCCCTTCCAGCCCTACGGTTCCATGTTCTACAAGTAGTCCTCGACTTAGCAACCGTTCATTTAGTGACTTTTCAAAGTTACAACAGCCCTGGAAAAAGTGACTTATGAATGTTTTTTACACTTGCAACCACTGCAGCATCCCCATGGTCACCTGATCCAAATTCGGATGCTTGTCAACTGAGTCGTATTTATGATGGTTGCAGTGTCCTGAGGTCATGTGATCCCTTTTTGCAAACTTCTGATTCTACCATATGATAGAATCTTGACTGCAGGAAAAACAATTTCAGCAATAGAGTAGTAAATGTGTGGAACACCCTACTGGATCCCGTTGTTAGTTCCTCTAACTCCCTGTACCTTTTACCTTAAACAATCTACCGTGGACCTTACACATTTCTTAAGAGGTCCGTAAAGGGGGAGTGCATAAGTGCACCAGCGTGCCTACCGTCCCTGTCCTACTCCCCCATTGATATGTACACTTTTAAAGTGTTTATGGCTATGTTTTATATCCATTTATTCGTGCCGTTTTTCCATGTGTGTTCATACTTGTTTCCTTGCACTTGTTGACAAATAAAAACAAACAAATAAATAAGAGACACTTAAATATCTGCTGGTTGTTTCCTTCTTCAGTGAAAAGCAGGTGCAAGAACCCTAAATGCACCTGAGTTTTCCAGTATTAGCCATTGGTTTGGCTCTTGCCCCACCCTACTCCAGGGCTAAAGTGAGGTTTACTCCTGCCAAGCAGTTAAGCTACCGTATTACCGGGGCCATCTAGGTAGACGTCTTGCAGTATTAGCTGTTTATTTCATTGACAGTCCGCAGAAGAGTCTTCAGGGAGCCCTTCCACAAGGCAAGGCCTCGATGTAATAATATACAAGGTCCGATTCTGGTATTTCCCTCGATAACCGTGCTCTACCTTATTGGGGTCAGGAGTCAGGCAGGGTCGCGTAGCTGCTCTAATGTTCTCTGTCACCAGCAATAAGTGCAAAGGGCTTGCTCAGAAAGCTGGCTTACACAACTTTGAGGTAATTTGGATCGCCTGAGTGAACTTCTAACGTGCCATTGTTGAGTTTGTTGATGCTTTATTATCTCTGAAGGGTTAATGAAGTAGGGTTGGTTAATTTAGGAAATGGGCAGTCTTGGTGTTAAGCAAGATTCCGGCAGCGGCTTGGTAGAAATAAGGAGACGGAGTCCTGAGGTGTCTTGATAAGCCAAAGGCCTCTCTCTCTCTCCACCTCCCGCTCCCTAACGCTCCTTCTCTTCCTATCTCCCTCTCCCTGTCCCACTCTTCCTCTCTCTCCCCCTGTCTAACTCTCCCTCTCCTCCCTCCCTAGCTCTTCCCCTCCCTCTCTTCTTCCTCTCTCTCTCCCTCTCTCTCCCCTCCCCCTCCTGAACTCACCCTCTCTCCCCCTCCCTCGCTCTCCCTCCCTCTCCCTCTCTCTCTCCCTCCCTTTCTCCCTGTCTTCCTCTTTCTGTCCCTCTCTCTCCCTCCTTAACCCTCTTTTCCTCCCTATTTCCCTCTCCCTGTCCCTCTCTTCCTCTCTCCCCCTGCCTAACTCTCCCTCTCCTCCCTCCCTAACTCTTCCCCTCCCTCTCTCCCTCTCTCTCCCTCTCTTCCTCCCTCTCTATCTTCCTCTCTCTCTCCCCTCCCCCTCCCTAAATCTCACTCTCCTACTCCCTAACTCTCCCCCTCCCTCTCTTCCTATCTTCCTCTCTGTCTCTCTCTCTCCCTCCTTAACCCTCTCTTCTTCCCTATCTCCCTCTCCCTTCCTTCTCTCCTTCCCTCACCCTCCCCTCCCTAACTCTCCCCTCCCCTCCCTAACTCTCCCCTCCCTCTCTTCCTGTCTTCCTTTCTCTGTCTCTCCCTCTCTCTCTCTCTTCCTCTTTCCCCTGTCCCTCTCTCCCTCTCACCCTCCCTCCCTCTCACCCTCCCTCCTTCCTCTCCCCCTGTCCCTTCCCTCTCTCTTTCTCTCCCCCCCCCATTCTCATTTCTACTTAGTTATATAAGAGGAAGCAAGCACATAGCAGATAAACACATACGATTAACTCACATGCCTGGAGTTTCTTATGGAACTTTCCACATGCACTAAGATTCTAACTTTAGTTCTGCCATATCAACATCTGTCCCTTTTTACCAGTTATCAAACCAATCATCAAACTTGTCAGATTCCTGGATCTGTTTATGGGCATACATACAAACATATATACACTTAAGAGATATAGGTATATCACTCAGACTCTCTCTCTCCCCCCCCCCTCTCTCTTACACACACACAAAAACACAGACACCACTCATTAAATACATGCTAGATAATTTTTTTTAGCTCTTGAGGATAAGGTCAGTAGATGATTAAGGTGGGGTGCAAGGAAAGAAACAGGTTCAGAAAATCTTCACCCACCTCTTCCCTGCTAATCTGATTTCAAATGACATTAAGTCACTGAAAAGGAAATGGTGGATTTTTGAGCCTAAAGACAAAATAGCAACGAGAGGAACATCATCGCTCAGGGTTGATTGCAAGCTTAACCTCCCTTTCACTCGTGGGTGGATATTGGTGGTGCTTTTGGGTCAGTGGCCCTTAAGAACAGAGTTTTAGAAGCAGATCATCACTTCTGCATAGTTGTGATGCTCACTTTGTTTTCCGAGGTACTTTGCCAATGATTCAGGTTCCACACTTTGGAGTGCTGTCCTGATTATCTTAAATAATCTGATTGCAAGGATGAAGACCAAAACATTTATGTTAAACCCCACAATTCCATGAGGTCTCCAGAAGGTTTACATGGGGTCTCAGAAGGTTGCCACCAAAGGTTGCTGCCAAATTGCAATATTTAATGTAAAAGCAGGATATTATTAAATAGGTGAAGCATAATTCTGTTTAGGTGAATATTTGCATGAGTTCAGTTTGATTCTCAATAACTTCCTGGACATTTTGAAGTACAGGATTTTCCCCTATAATTTTCTGAGTGTCTTTTGACTTTTTAGTTTATCTTCCAGTTTTGTGACCTCCTAGTTAGTTTCCAATCTATCTCCTAACTAGGTCTGACTCTGTTTAGCCTTTTAAGTTTGGCCAAGATAAGTTAGATTCATTTCTATTAAATGAAATAATATTTACCATTAGTTGCTTTTCCCCCCCAAAAGGCAATGGAGGTTCTTGGTCCCCCCCCCCGAAGATGTTTCACATCTCATCCAAGAAGCTTCTTTCATTCTGAGTCAGAACAGAAGAAGCTTCTTGGATGAAAAGCGAAATGTTTTCAAAGAAAAGGCTGTCCAGTTACTTTTTAGAAAAGCACTTTTGGGACAACCATGACCTGAATGATTGAGGATCTCCATAAACAAATATCATATTTTGTTTTTCTCTAATTTGTACCATATGTTGTTGGAAGAAATGTTCTTCTGGGTTCAGTTCCAAGTGGGAAGAAAGAAACTGGAAACATGGAGACTGCTTGGAAAAATGGTTTAATGGTGGACAGGACCACATGGTTTGAGATCATGGGCAAAAAAATGCACATGGGTGAAAGAGGGAGATAGTGTCAGGGTTCCAATTAGCATCCAAAATTAAATCAGAGTCCAAGGCAAAAGATTCCTCAAAGTTCCAATTTATTAAGAGATACATGTTGGCACATTTGGGAAAACCTGAATCTGAAAGCTTCCCGGTTTCCCCCACCTAATTGAAAGTTCAAGATCTTGCCCCCACACCC